TATGAGTGGGGTCTGGTCGGATTTTTGGTCACTCGAACTCGACACAAAAATGAAACCCCTCCACTCGCATTTGACCCAACCCTGTTCAAGAGGGTCCACCCGATCCAAAATTAGACTTGATTTTTTATGTCAAAACTCACATTCGATCCAACCCGAATCGACCTTAATATAAGAAAATCATTTTTATTAAGTAAATAAGGATCTAATTGAGGTATTATTAAAATTATCCCTAAGTATATAAATTATAATTATAATATTTTGCAAGATCAAGTTTTCTTTACTATAAATCCAAACCTAACCCGATCTTACCCTTTAAAAAATTCTGACCGAACCCAAATTTCAAAATAAAAAACAGACCCAACTGGATCCGATCGGATCGGAACCCATCGAGTTGGGTAAAATGTCCATCCTATTTGTATCAAAGTTGGTATCGGTGAAATTCTTCTTCTTGTATGGATGATTTCCGTGGTTTATAGTCATGGAGTTCCATATCGCGTGAAGAATTAGTCACGGTGCATTCAAACTGCACATTTTTATGACTGGATAAATCACCACTTGGAATCATTGACATAATTATGATGCTTTTACAGGCAAAGCTGAATGAGACATTGGCAGGACCTGTTGAATCGCTTTTTGATGGAGCTAATAATGAGACCTGGCTCTCAATAAGGAACCTTCTTAAGTGTGAAACTGAATCAGCTGTCAGTGGAATGTCCAAGGCTCTCTCCGGTTTTGACTTGGATGAAATTGCAAAAGGCAAGATGCTAACGAGCCTAAAGGATTACGCCAGAGGAGTGGTTGAAGCAAAAGCTAAAGAAGAAGCCGGAAGGGTAGTGATCCGTATGAAGGACAGGTAATAACACATTTCAATGTTTGAGTCAAAGTGGTTGATTACCAAGACATTGTATATTACTGGAATTGACTGAAAAAAAAAATTGCATTCAGGTTTTCAACATTGTTTAGTCATGATTCCGATTCAATGCCTCGGATTTGGACCGGGAACGAAGATATTCGAGCCATAACTAGAACAGCTCGTACCGAAGTATGTTTATGTACAATTTTCAGAATAATGCTACATTATCTTCTATGCTAAACTTGCTTATTATCTGTTACCAGTGCTTGAAATTGCTCTCTATTATGGCTGCTATTCGGTTGGAAGATAGCGTTGATAATATTGAGGAAATACTATTTTCTGCCTTGTTGGATACCGGCAATAGAGCTGCGAACAAGAGCACACTAGCAGATCCATTGGCCTCGAGCACTTGGGAGCAGGTGAAGTCTTGTTCTAGTTGAGAACCTTCATGAGATGTAGTTGAACCCGTACAAACTGCTTGATCATTGCATGCTATTCATTGATAAAGATTTGCCTCACATTCATTGATAAAAATTTGTAGCATTCACCTACTAAATATGTAATGCTTTCCTTCTTTCTCTCTAACGTTGTATCGTATTAATCGAAATCGGTACAGGTCCCTCCCGCAAGGACATTGATCACACCAGTCCAGTGCAAGGCTTTGTGGAGGCAATTTACGACTGAGACCGAGTACACTGTCACTCAGGCCATTTCTGCTCAGGCATGAATTTTAAAGTTCTAATTACCTCGAAGATTTCATTCCGATCCTTCCCGGTGCATCTTTTTTCTGCCACCTGAGTTGTACTGATGCCTGATTAGTTTTCTTATATTTTCAGGAAGCCAACAAGCGTAGCAACAACTGGTTGCCACCTCCATGGGCAATTGTTGCCTTGCTGGTCTTGGGATTTAATGAATTTATGACTGTTTTGAGGTGCGCGTTGCACTCGGTAGCTTCGATTCCTTTCGACTAATTTCGGTCCCTATCCGTTGCTTGTGCTTACTCGCTCCCATCCTTTGTTGCAGAAACCCTTTCTATCTGGCTATCATCTTCGTCGGTTACCTAATCGCGAAGGCTCTATGGGTGCAGCTCGATGTTTCGGGTCAATTCCGCTACGGCGTCGTGAGTTTTGAACTTAATATCTCTTTGTCCCTGTTTATGAGCATGCTAAAACCATTTGGTTAGCCAATGACTCTTATGCTACAATGATCCGAAACACTTAAAATCATCTTTCTATGCTTGCAGCTTCCTGGTATCATCGCCTTATCCACCCGGTTGATTCCCACCGTTATGAACCTTATCCGGAAGTTATCTGAGGCAGGTCAAGCACCCGCCACTCCAACTAACATGACTCCGAGAATGACGGCTACATCGGCATCTAGAAAGTTCGAAAACGGAAGCACCATGTCATCTAATGCTTCATCCCGAGTAATTTCATCCCACTCCAACAAAGAAGAATAACTTGCTAGACTAGAAATCATGGTACTAAATTGAGGTTGCAGCTGCAATGTCACGGTTGCAAATGTTGCTAACGTTACACATGTTTTCTTTTCTAAAAGTAATTATGTTTTTATGTTGCGGATGTGATGTGCAATATTGCGGTAATCTTAAAAAACGCTACATTGCATCCGTTATACTATATTACAGTCATAATTTAATACTATACTAGAAATACGTTCTCTGTCTACTTAAGACGCCGGTTTCGTGCTCAGGTTAACGCCGGGACCGGCTTCCTTAATAGAGAGGGAAGTCTAAATTAGATTAGGTAACATGGACAACATCCATGTTTGTTGAGAAATTATATGGATATGTTAAGCATTGATTTAAACTCAATATTTATCTAATCCAATTATTCTTGTAGTAAGTATTTACTAATGACACTTAAGGTGATAAAATACGAGTTGTTTCTCGGATTTTGTATTGATTATTTGTTTATTTAATTTTAACAATATTTTATAATATTCTCATTAAATTTGAAAAATGAAACTCATATCTACATGCCATATTGACAAATTTTCCTCATGTTATAATCCTATTTATAGTATTTTGTGTTTATAGTTTTTTTATAGATTAAAAATATATGTTAGGTGGATTTTTATATATTCATATCATATTTTTATTTTTTATATTGTAAAATATTTTAAGATAAAGTACGCAAATGATACTCGACTACATGATTTTTTTTTATTAAGTTCTTCGACTATTAAAAGTTTCAAAATGATCATTCAACTATAGAATGTTACTTTGTTATGTCCCTTGACTATTGAAAGTTACAAAATGGACACCTGATTATTTATTATGCTCCAAAATCATCATTTTCCACTAAAAGATTGTCGGTTGTCTACACTGAATATTAACATAATTGCTGAGATATGATAGTCTTTGAGATTCTAGGATCATATTTTACTATATCACATACAACAAGTTAACGTTCAGCTCTGAACACTGTCAAATTTTTAACTGGAAAATGACAAGTTTGAAATATAATGAATAGTCGGGTGACCATTTTGTAACTTTTAATAGTCGAGTGACCTAACAAAGTAACAATCTATAGCTAGATGATCATTTTATAACTTTTAATAGTCGAGGGATCTTTTAAAAAATAATAGTCAAGGGACTTAATAAAGTAATACCTTATAGTCGGTGGACCATTTGTGTATTTTATCCAATATTTTGATTATTTTGCATGTAATAATATTTATAGGATTATTATATGGTACATTGGAGTTAGATTTTAGGTCTTACTATTGTAGGTGAAAAATCATCACATATAACTAAATGTATGGTCAATTAAACTTGTGGAATAATGGCAAAACATGCCCTAAAATAATTGTAAGCCAACTTTGAATGTTTCACTTTGTGCTTTTTATATTATATATTCGGGGCTTGTGATTTTCTTTGTTACATATATTGGGAGGTAATCGATCATAAGTGATTACAATGTAGTAAAGGTGTCCAAAAACACCTGATTCGGTTGACCCGACACGTCGATCCTCTAATATGGTTAAAAAATATTTGATATTTATAATAAAAATACTCACTTTTCTGGGGTCGAGTACTTGACCTGCAATTTTTTTGGGTTTTCGGGCCGAGTCCATATCACAAAATATTGTTTAACCAGGTACTCGCCAATCTAGCACCCGCTTAATTACGTTTTTTTTTTATTTTCATTTTTATTAAATTTTTATTCATAATTCTCAAATTATTTCACTCTAACATGCTAAATTCCTAATTTCTTAAATCTTGACACCATAATATTCTAAATTCTTAATTTCTAAAATTATTTCACATTAACATTTTAAATTATTTTTTAAGATATTTATTTTAACTTCAAAACATTTGAAATTTAATTATATTTCTTTATTTTAAATTTTAATAAATTTTCTTTCAATTATGTAATTTGAATTTTTAAAATTTAAGTGTTGATTATATATATTATAGACCTCTAAATGTTAAATTTTAGAAATTTTCTATATATATATATATATTTAAAAATAATACAATTTAAAGAAAAAATAAAAAAATTATTAACTGAGTACCTATGACCCTGAAATACGGATACACGGATTTTACGGGTATCCGTATGTAATAAGCCGTGAGAGGGGCCAACTTTTTGATACACGAAATTGGTTTTGAACACTTCTACAAGGTAATATTTATTCAAAAATTTTAAGTTATCTGATAATTAACACTTAAACATCTATGTGCATATATTTACTTATATTTTCTCAGATAGTTTGGGTCTTCCCAATCATCCTAACCAAAGCATTTTTCTTAGAAACTTTGCCTAAAAACTTAAAACTCCAACCGTACCCTAATGATCCTTTCATCGAACTTAAGTGCCATGAGAATATGTGGATAAATCATAATGTAAATTATATTACATCCTGATAACCATCTTAGTTATTAATCTATCGATAAATCGAAATATATTGTTAACATTCATATAATTTATATTTAATGTATTTCTAGAGTATAATATGTACATTTTTTTTAAAAGAGGGTACTTTGTATTATAAACAAATGCAAAGTACACCACCTTACATACATGCCAATAATTCGTTAAAAATATTTAAAATTAAAAATAAATAATTGAACTTTTCAATATGTAACATTACATGAATCATAGCTAATAATTAATTTCATTAATAATTCCTAACCTTAATTCTTGGGGGATGAGATTTCAGTGCTACAAATGGGGCAGATCTTCTTAACTTGAAGCCATTTAGATATACAATCTGAATGGTATGGATGTTCACAATTCCGAAGAGCCACAACACCTTCATCTTCTTCGTATTCGGTTTGACAAATCACGCACCGATCGATTTCGGTTTTGCACTTGACGGATCGAAACTTGCATTGGATCAAGCACTGTGAAATTTCGTCGGGAGATAACCCTCTCTTCTCCACTCCTATAATCTCTCCCAAAGAAATCAACTCTTCGTACGATAAATCGTCCGGATCTATCTCATCATCATCTTCTTCTTCTTCTTCTTCAAAATCATCTTCTTCCATATCTTCGAACTCTAGGTCATCTCCGGCTTCGAGGCCTTCAAAACACTCGTAATCATTAACGTTGCTTTCTTCGTAGGATGCCTCGGTATCGTACTCTTCGCTATCATCACTCTCGATCATTGAAGAAGCTCTTTCTTGTTCCTGCAATGCCATGGCCATGGCGAAGTCGGAGTCGATTTGTTCGAGCTCGGTAGAGGGCACCCTCTTTGATGATTGTTTGGTGTCTTCGTTTTCCATTGAAAGACAAATGCAATGTTATTCTCAAACGAAGTTGAAATGCAAACCACTTCCATAGGATATATATTATAATTTGTTAGATTGGGGTAATGCTTAGGGTTTTCTTTAGGTGAAGGCAACTTCCATACGAATGCTTAGGGTTTTGCTTTAGGTAAAGGCAACTTCCATACGAAGCGATGGAAGTCCAAATACTGTTATATTCTTTGATCCTTTATATACTTTGAATGTTATGGGAAGAGTCACGTCAATTTGTACCTATTTTTTATTTATATTTTATATTATATATATTAATTTTGAAAATTTTAATATTATATCCCTACTCAATTTCATAATGTCTCAAATGTAGCCCAAAGTTAGGCTTTCTTTGAAGAGAGGACAGCTCTATTTCATGCATGTACTAGAATAACTTATCTGCTAAGTCACCATACTAAACCATATACCAACTCTTTTACCTTATCTTTGGGGTCAATCCTCTATTATATATATATATGATCCACTTCATAGTATATTTTTCTAAGATTTATACAGATTTATGACCATTAAATGAGTGAAATCAGACGGTTGAGATTAATATTAAGAAATGAGAATATATTCACTAAAAAAATGAGTTAATCTCAACCGTATATTTTTACTTATCCATTGGTCCTAAATATGTGTAAAACTAAAAAAAATTCTACATTATATAAACGGATACTAACCCTATATATACGCATCAGATGATACAAATACAATCAATATACATGTATTTTTCTATTAAAAGAATATATACATGTATTTTGGTTTGATAAGTTTTTATATATAAAATTAGTATAATATTGTTTTCGAAAAGTGTAATGAAAAATAATATATACGAAAGTGATTTCGAAGAGTTGAATTATAATTATTTTTATACAGAGAGACATTTTACCATTGCTCTTAAATCATCTTCTAAGAGATAAATGATCATTTTAAATAGTATATTATATATTTAAAAACATATAATATTATAATATATATAAAATATATCAATTTAATTTAAGATAAAAATGTATAAAAAAATAATAAAAAGAAGTAAATTTGTAATGGTTTTAAAGACAAGATTGCACATATATAAGAGTTAATGGTTTTTGGCAAATCAACTAAGAACATGAGCCATTCTCATGTATAGCAGAAGAAACACTGATAATTTCTGCAAATACTTGAATTAGTCTACGGTTCTGCCGGAATTTCAACGGGGGCAGGGCCGCCATCAGAGCTTCAGTTTGGGTTATCATTGGCATATGCACCCTGTGGTCGTGGAGATTGGGTTGATGGAGAGTCATAATACATTATATAGGCATGGAGGAGGAAAAAAGTACTACTAGTTTGTGCAAGACTACGTTGATATGACTCTTTATTTTTCTTTAAATACCCGAGTAATATAGGTAGAGATCAACATTCGAACCAAACCCGAAAAGTTTCGATTTGACTCAAGTCCGATAAGATATTTTATTTTATTTTTATTTTATCTTTTAAAGTTTAGTTCGAGTCGGATTTTTAAAAGAAGGTGTCAGGTCGGATTTGATTTTGGATAAAATACTTGACCTAATGCGAGAATAATAACATATTTAACCTTTATGTGTTTAGGGATATTATATTATAATCACTTTATATTTTTTTCCAATTAGATCTCTAGTTCACCTTATAAAAATGAGAATTATATATATATATATGTTTTTGGTCAAGCTGAGTTGGGATTTTGCCTAAAAATTGGGTCGTGTATCAGGTTATGTGGAATTTCTTTAAATTTGAGTCGAGTCTACCGACAAGTAAAGAAGTATTTGTCATGATCGGGAAAAAATGGGGAAATTTTAGGGATCACAGAGAAAATTAGGGATTTGTCGTGAAAAAGGAAATGAGAGCTCAATTGAATTAAACGAAATGATGCGTGTTTACTTACCAAAAACAGTGTCTGGAGTTGAATGGCCCAACATCAGTGGCAGCCTACATGCACACAGCTGACCACAACTCAACTATTTCGGCGACAACGATGGTGGTTGAAGATGGTCGGCGACTGTTTTAGGAGTTATTAATGTTTTTTAGTAAAAATTTAGGTTTTTTTTTAAATAAATTACTTTTTTATATTTTTTCTTTTTTAATTAAAAATAATATTTTTTAATTAAAAATTAAGCGATAAACACCTAAAAACATAATTGTTAAGAATCTATTTTTAGCGGGAAAAAAATTAGATATTAAAACATTTTTCGAGACAAAATTTAAGCAACTATTTTTATATTAAGTATTTTTAAAAAAATAAAATTTAGGAGTTATGACTCGTCTAATTTAAAGATGTCTAGTGTAATCAAGAAAACAATTACCCAAACAATGATAACACCGCGTTTCCAGGCGATTTCTGCAATTTTTATGACGTTAGAGACTATGGCTTCGCGATCATTCACCCTAGCTGATCTTCCTTCGAGAATAAAATCATTCTGCAAAAAAAAAAAAATCTCAACTTTTGATTTTTCTTATTAAATGATCTAAAAGGGTGTAAAACCTTTAATTTTACTGTAGATGTGATTGAAGCTTATCTAAGTGTGGTACGTATAAATCTAAATTTCTTTATATTAATAGTTTATTTTATTGAGAGTGTCTACCCTAAAATTTTATGTGTTCATCTCATACAAAAAAATTATTTTATTAATATATATGTCTATCTTCAAAAATATTTTTAGATCCACTAGTATATTTATGAAATTTCAGATAATAAAAGAAATTGTTGATGTATTTTTATTATATCTAAAGTTTTACGAGTTCACAAATCAAAAGGATACATAAGTATATAAAACAATATATATATATATATATATATATATAAAGAGGGAGAAAGAAAGGAGTTGCCTGCATGTCAACTACAAGGAGAGCCGTTTGCCTTCATTTGTTTGCCATTGTTTTCTCTTTGAAGGAGCTTGGTGGATTACTGGTATTTGGACTGCTATGGGAAAATGGCATCCAATAAATAAACATACAAGGCCAATAAATTAGGCAGAATCATTAGACATATGAGGCCAGTAAATTAGGTAGAATCATTATGCTTGTCTTCAATTAGGTAAAATCGTTATGCTTCTTTGGTGTTGTATCACTTTCAGTCATCAATGACCTTGATGAGTTCCCTTTTTATATATATAAAAATCAATAGTTTTAAGTTTGATTTTAAAAAAATATAAACGCAACACTTGTCAGGTAATAGTCTTTTTTAACGATCGTTAAAGCATATACACTTAAAAGAATATGTTAAAAACTTTATAGAAATAAAAAATTCTTTAAACACCTCATTTGAACAAAGAGTATAATTTGGACACTTATTTAATGCGAGCCAAAAATAAATAAACTTGGGAGCACTGCATCATCCACTAAGAAAAGTTTGAAGTTTGAATTTCAACAACTTTTGTTTCTTCCAAACTAAGACCCTTTTTCTTAAATACATATATAAAAAGACCAATATGATTCAAGCAAACTTCAAAACTCTTTGCACTGCATCATTCAATAAAACTCTAAAATGAAAAAAGAAAAACCCACAAGAACATCTAGTAGAATCTCCCCTTCCGGCAACACCACTGATTATCAGGCAATACACTTGATCCAATCACCTCTTTTCCCAAATTTTATCACAGCGCATTTCGGACCAGGCAAGCAACCATCGGATTGCTCGCCAATGCTTTGCTCTTGACAGTCATCTAATAAGGCGATTAATGCAGTACCAGGTAAAGGACTAATCAAGAACATTTTCTGGAGAATACAACTATTGCAAACCCAACAAGGCAAATAGATGTGTTGCATGCACACTTCATCTCAACATGGCAGAAAATGACCACCCCGAATTTGGGTCGAAAGGGTTGTGATTCAAGACCCCTGTAAATCATATGAATCAGTTTCGCAAACCCAGAAAAAATCGAGTTATGGATAATATTAATGGGATTAAATACAAAACAGGCTTACCGGTTCATGTTAGATTTTTTAAGAACCTGTGGATGATTTCTGAACCCACACTTGTTTCTGCAAGAAGATAAAGAAAAGAACATAAGAACCAAAGGTAAGGTAAAGATGACAGATTCTGCTGCTGATTCATCATAGAATCAGCTCACCTCATGGGCTCCAGAGCTTGTAGCACCTCCTCTTTTTGAAGGCTTGCCCTCACTTGATATGACAGATCCATCATCTTTATATTATGGGTAGCTGCGCCCCGACCAAATTGCCAATTGGAACCTGCATATGAATGAGATCATCAATACGACATTCCAGTGCCGCTGTGTGACAGCAGTACCAAACCAATAAATTGTGGACAGACTAAAAACATTTTTTATAACGGAATATTACACCCGATGCTTCCATTAGCTATGTCACATTTCATTTCTCCTAGGGTAACTAGGCAGAAAATGAGGTATATTAGCTTTCCTCATTTCTTGCATATTCAATAAAACAACTTTATATAAGAACTGTATCCAAAATCCATCCACACTTGCAACACCAGATATTCAAGTGAATAAGCATTAATACCGTCCATGGAACTGCGAGAAGACACAGGGGGTGTCAGACGTTCTTCACTAGATTGTGAAAAATCAGAACGATTAAGAGGTGCCCATACACCACGATCAGGTCTATCTTTATTTCTTGTACGTTTTTCATGCTTCTCGCTTCCATAACCTGAACCATGAAGTCCCTTTTTGATGAACTTATCATCTGAAACTCTTTTAGTATCACCAAAAGATTTCAATGCAGGCATTTCATTAGGAACATGACCATTCATACCCAATCGCGGATTAGTTGGCTGGGGAGGTTTTTTGACAGAGTCCGGACTCATGGCTTGAGTTTTCTGCTGAAGCTGGCCTGCTGCTGAAGATTGATTTTGGCCTGCCTCGTTTCTCAAAAGTATGCTCCTTATTATCTTCCCACCAGCCTTGCGTCTTTGACCCTGTCTTGAAGTAGTTGAGCCAGGTGTATTGGCTGCAGGAGATGATGCACACTGCTGTTCAGATACACCCTCTGGCACCTGAGAATTTAAAAGAACATAGTCCCAGCATATATAAAACTTAAATATATAACAGACACCACGAGTGTGCAGAAACAAGACAAACTAAAGGCACATATCTTACATTAGGAGGCTCTCGGTCTTTTGGTTTAAGGAGAAGGATCTTTTTCTTGACAGAGTCGGCAGCAAAAGTAATTCCAGTTACAGGCCCATCGATGCCACAGACTGCAAGCAATTTATTATTAAGCAAAAATATGAGGAAAGGAAATACAGTACAAAAAAGAAAAACTAAGAACCAAAACAACCTGTACTTAATCTATTACAACTTCCAGTCAAATGAAAAAAATTCAAACCAAAGTTCAGAGAGAACAAACCATCAATTTAAACAAGCACATATATGCACACATGATCAAAACTGAGTGCAAATAGAATGGCAAGGGGCTCTAGCTCTTATTCCAGTATAATAAATGATTATAAGAAAACAAAAGGTCAGCATTATTCAAACCTTCACCAAGCTGCATCAAGTATAGAGATGAGTTGTATTCCAAAGCATGAACTCGGGTTGACCTAAAGTTATCCATCATGGGGGTTCCATTAAACAAAATTTCAATGTATTCCTTTTCTATGGCACTATAACTAACTAGCAGCATCATATCCGTATTACATGAGTCAGCTACATCTATAAAATGATTATAATGTCCCTAATCTGCAAGTAATAACAGAAGGGTTGTCACAGCCAACTTAAATGCAGAATAACAGGTGGCATTGGCATGATAGGAAAAAAGTACAAAAATCTTCTTTTAGAAACATATTCAAATAGCTTTGCAATAAAACAAATTCATGACAACATGCTAAGCTTCCGGTTTAACCATTTAATGAGATGGCTATTGAAACAATATGAGACACATGTTTGCAGACGACTTTGAACACTCAGATTGATATTAGTTTAATCCAGCAACACGCACAAGAACAGCATGAGTCATTTTTGTGTGCAAAAAACTATCAATAACTAGGTTTTCTTATCTTGCAAATATTCACAAAGATAACACTAAGCCCGTATAAATGCTGACAAAGCTCTATGTGGATCATAACCTCTGCTAAGACTGTTTAAACTCTCACCAGTTCCATTCTCTCTTATTTCTTTTGCAACAGAAGTCACTGATTGATCCTCTTGCTTGGATGCTACAAAAAAATTGGACTTTTTCGCACCTTTTGCACTGTCTTTTAGAATATACTGTCAATCAAACAAGTTTTATCAAATGAGAAAATAACAAACTATACCACTTCAAAATTGGACATGCACACAGAGTAACACAAGATCATTGGGAAGGATCATTGAAAACTGCTTCATAGGAAAGAGGCAATGAATATAATATCTAAGAATATCAAAACTTCATGCAAAATTTGATCCAATGATCAGTAAAATATTAAAAGCAACCTCCAAGAATTCACCTAAAGATATCACCCTACAGGTATTTACGAAGAAATCTGAAGTTGCTTCAAATTTCAGAAACCAGACTATTTCGACTTCTTATTTGACCACAAGTGCCTAACTAAGGTGCATGCAAAACTAAAGCTAGAATAAATATCAACTAAGAACAGAGACAATTATAAAGCAGATGATCCAGATAAGTAGAAGCTATGCTTTTGTACAAATAAAATGCCTCCGATTCACCAGAAGGGTGCATTTATTAGAGCGGTACACAATGCAAAGATCCTATTTTTTTAAAGTACCTAAAGGTTTATATCCACGTGTAAATTACCATATGCTCAAATATCCAGCAATAAAATACATAAGAAAGCTATTGAATTAGATACCTTTTTCTTCTCAGAGCTCTTGCTACTTGACCCAGGCTTGCCAGCCATTTTTCTGCCAATCTTTCTTGTCGTTATTGACCCCTGTTAACAAAACAAACTCAAACGTGGTCATGAAAGGACTGCTTATTAGTTCATTTTCATTTCTTTTTCCTTTTTCTGGGCCCCAATTTTAAACATAAAGATCCCAAGAAATAGTGACACATGGAAGGATTACTTAACATAATAGACTGCAGCATGTCCAACAGACGTTCGACAATTCTGGTCACATTGGATTATAATAATTCGAGTGGAAATTTAAAAGGAAACCATGCAACTACTGTCAACAATATGCCCATCATATTTTAATAAAGTTGGATCACATAGATGCAAGCTCAGTAAGCTAGAAATAACAAATAAGTAAATGCAAAATTGAAAGCGCAATAACTTAAGGCCATATACTCAGGGGAAAGAGCAACGTCATGATAAGAAATGCAGCTTTTCCAAGGTAAAGTACCTGAGTCCCACTCTTGGCAGCGCGCTTCTGACGCACAAATTCCATTAGTGGTGTAACAACAGGAGTTTCCTTGGGAGCACCTAGAAAGAAGAAAGTGGGATCAATCAGTCATATTCGGGTGGCAAAAACTCATAACCAGAGTTCACAATTTTGTATTCCTTCTATCATAACAAACCAGATAGTTCAGCTTCTTTTCTCTCCAACTGAATCTCAGCACTAGGAAGATTCTCAACAGGTTTTGCAATCAATTTGAGAAATTCCAGATAATCAGGATCTAGTTTCATAAAAGAAAAAGAAGATTTAGCACAAGATAGCAAGCTATTCAATGTTAGTTCAAAAGGCTTCCATTAAATAATATGCCTAACAATGAACTCTTTTTTCAAAATAATGCACCTTTGAAAATGGTCCCTTCACGACCATCCTTTTTAGTGCCAGGCTTCGGTACACGCTGTGAAGGAGCATATTCAACAATGGCCTTGAATTGAGTACCTGAAATAAGGGGTGTCAAAATGATTAGGATAGAAGTACCAACGGGTAAATTAAACTCAGAGACAAAGAAATTAACATATTGCAATCGAATTGAACAAATGCAAACAAAATTTGTACTTAAAGTATTTAGAAAGAATCCTATAAGCTGTCCTCTAAAACAAGAAAAATGTGTCAGCAGTTTATAATAGTAAAGAATCAGACGTTTAACCCTAAGTACCCTTCTCATTAACAAATACATGTCCGTCAAAGAACTCAGCAAACTCAAAGACATCTTCCGGTCTCTTGAAGTTTATGTAAGCTCGAGAATAGCTCTGTTGCTTATGGCTGCAAAGTAAGAACAAAAAGAAAGAGATCCTAAGGATCAAAAGATGGAGTATGATGAAAACATAAACAAATAAATAAAAGCATGTTCAAAAGAAATTATCAATAGAACTTCCGAAACTTTCTATCACATCTTAGTTAAATCACAAGTTCTTTCCCAAGCTTTCTAATATGACTAGCATTTACAGAATTGCAAATTATGATAATTTCTTCAAGTTTCATGCAGCTCTCCATTAAGCAAAGAAGCAAAACATCATTAAGAGAACCATATTCCTGGCAAAACAAATACATTTAAAAAAAAACTTGGCTCTCAAATTAGTTTCGAATTTTACTTTCAACTATTCCAACCTACCTTTTTTCACCTCCAGCAGATAAACAACAATACTTTCTAAACCCGTTCAAAGCATAAATAAGAAACTCGACAGTCAAATACAAATTCTGCTCCATTTGACACCCTAGGAACTAAATTACAAAAACATAATGCAAACGAAATATATAAACTAAAGGGGTGTCAGAAATTAGGGGAGTAGGGATTAAAAGTTCGAAACCCTAACCTGGACTTGCCGAGACGGAAGGAGAACCAATTGTAACGATCAGAGAAACGTTCGTCGATTTGAGAAAAGAAAAACGATTGGGTAACTGACGGCGGAAGATGCCTTATCACCACTTTCGTTTTATGCATCGGTTCCTTCATCTCGATTTTCTCTCTCCCCTCAAATTCTTCGTTAGGGATTCAATTTTCCAGTTCCGTGAAGAGTTCCCTGTTTTCTCTTTTTCCAAGGATGTATTTTTCTGTTCCCTTTTTATAATTTATATTTAACATTTTTTAATTTGATTTATTTTATTTTATTATGAAAATACTTAAAATTAATAACTGATTTATAGATATTCTATAATAATAAAAAGTGTTTGGTATCTTAAATTATTTTTATTTCTAAATATATAAAATTAAAATTATATTATTTTCACGAAAATAATATGCGGATTAAATTTTGGTCACTTTCTTTTATATTTGTATACTTTTAGTCACTTAGTTATTGTTTTATTAAATTTTAGTCACTTACGTAATCGTTTTATTAAATTTTAGTTACTTGAAAATGAGGTACTCAGAGGCCGACACGGTGGTGGTAGTTGTGGTGGTGCGAACGTGTTTAGTTCGTTTAGTATTCTTGATTTTGTTCATTTAATGTTCACGAACGTGTTCGTTTATATCTTCGTGAATATTTACTTAAGTTATTCTCAACATTTTCATTTATATGTTTAAAAATTGAAAGTTCAGGTTCCAAAAACATACCAAAATTGATAGTTTATGTACTAAATGTGTTAAGTTTTTAATAATGGGGTAATAAAATGAAACAAAAACTAAACGTTAGGTATGATTTTAAAAAAATTGAAAGTTTAAGTACTAAAACGGATAGTTTAGGATACTAAATGTGTAGTTTACCCTTTATATTTTTCCATGTATTTTACATTGAAACTTTTTTTCGCTCTTGAAATTTTATAGATTCAAGTTCGTTTCCCCTGAAATTTTATAGATTCACATTCACCCCCAATATAAAATTATGTGTTTGTCCTTGCTCGTATTTCTCCCAAGTTAATGAAGTGTACATTCTACAGTTGAGTGGTTGACGAATATATGGCATTGGTAAACTGGTACTGATGCTTTTGAATGCATAACAGAGAGATGGTTTGGCAAATCATTCAGAAAAATCTTTGAAGGCAGAAATAATTTCACAGAAAACCAACATGATCAAAATACTCGAATTCCGACAGCAAGCCGTGTATTGACGACTTATTTCGAGATGTCCTCGATGCCGGTCTCGGCTCCGAGTAGCAGAAAAATGATGATGATCCCTTTGCAGATGTCTCATTTCATACTGGTGATAATATGCATGAAAATATATTTTCCAACATCGAAAATGAATCTGGTAATCGAACTTCTACTGATGCTTCGAGTGGTATCCGTGGTTCTCAAGCCGCCGGGATGAATGCGAATACGATGTTTCCTTTAGGGACCGCGCCTTATGCCGGTCCTCCCGGCATAATAATGAATCCGGTCTTTTGTTCTCAGCCTATGAATTATGGTGCTATGGGGAGTTTCTTTGCTCAACAGCAATTACGATGCCGGAATCGATAACGTTTCTGGTGGATCTAATGGAGGACCGCCTCTGCCGGATATATTCCGGTCAAACTTCACGACTCGAACGCCTAGATCAACGATAAAGGGTTTGAAGAAATGGGACGGCAGAGCATTCGATATTATTTCGGTAAGTTTAAGTTCTAGCATATGCTAGCTCCATAGGAATGTGCCTCATTGTCTGGGACATGTCATTTTATGTTTGATGGCACCTCTGTTGATCTTGTATTGGTTTCGGTTTCGGTTTCGGTTTCGCAGGACCTTCTTGCGGCTGGTCGTGATCCGAAACGGATGGCGTAAGGTATCGTGCTTGCACCCTACGTTCCGTCTATGGAATATTCCGGCACCTAAATACCGGTACCGTTTCTTTGCATATACAGTGATGGGGGATACCCTCAAGTAAAAAAGAATAGGCTATAAATCTTGTGGGATTTGTTTGCATTTTGCATTAAGGAGATTGGGAAGATCATGTGCAGTTAAATTGGTTAAAAATATAGGATCAAGTACATATATGGTCCCAACTATAGGATACTATTTTATTAAGTCCCTTGACTATTAAAAGTTACAAAATGAAACCCAATTATAGGGAGTTGTTTTGTTGAGTCTTTCAATTATTAAAAGGATAGATTGGTCACTTCACTATTCATTATGTTCCAAACTCGTCCTTTTTCGTTAAAAAATTAACAGTCGTCTAAGTTGGACTTCAACATATTAACTGAGCTATGATATTTTTTTGAGATTACGTGATCAGATTTTATCATATCTCGGTCACCAAGTTAACATACAACTCAGGCTCTCGTCAAATTTTTAACGGGAAATGACGAGTATGGAACATAATGAATAGTCGGATGATCATTTTGTAATTTCTAATAGTCAATGAACTCAACAAAGTAACTCCATATAATCAGAGGATTACTTTAAAATATTTAATAGTCAGGGGACTTAATAAAACTGTATCTTATAGCCGATGAACCATTTGTATACTTTACCCAAAATATAAGCATAAGCGATTATAAATTCTCATCATTGCAATTATATACATATTTTACCAAATTTATATATAGTTTGATATTTATCTACTTATTAATTTATCTATTTATTTATACTTATATTTTTATAGAAAAAAAAATTGAAATTCAATTGACATATGTGTTGACTTGGTATTTAAACAACACATTAAATTGTTGACATAGTATTTATCGAAACAAACAATGACATCTTTAAATGTAATACCTAACAACTAGGACCGGTAAGAGACTCAAATCTGACGAGTTTTAATTTGATCAACTTTATTGTGTCAATTTTTTAAAAAAAGAATTGGGTTCCAATCAGATCGAACTTTTTAGAAAATATGTTTGGGTAGGGTTCACGTTTAGAATGAAAAATATCTTATCCGACTCAAAAAAATAATATTCTCTTACTTTATATATTTAGGGATAGTTGTAATAATATTTCTCTATATATTATTTTTCAATTATCTCCTTTTATTTGTCGAATAAAAGTAATATTTTTTATAAATATATTTGTGTTGGTCGGTCAAGTCAAGTTGGGTTGGGTTTTATCTCAAAAAGACGAATCAAACTGAGGTCGGATGAAGCCATCTTAAATTCAGGTCTTATTTCGGATGGAGGATGTAAAATTTCGGGTCGAATCAGATCGAATTGACTGAAAATCCAACCCAACCTGATCCATATCCATTTCTAATCACAACTTAATTGATTATCGAAATTGAAATATTTCATAACCCTCCGAACGGATTTTATCGTTTGTTCGTGATGATTGTAATGTTTTTTGTTTTAGTAAATTTGATTTATTAACTGTTCATGTAGCTCTCTTTTTCATTAAAAAAACAAATATACTATCTAAAAAATTAATATTTAAATCTAATAAAACAATAAAATTATTTTTCTTTTATTTTAAAGTTTTTTAATCACTATTTGATTTGGGATTCATGTGGCTAAAATCTTGGACCCACATGATGATGCATCAAAAAATCATCAACACAATCACCATCGTCGGATATGCCGAAAACCGATGTTTGACTGACAAAGCGTTGATGTTGTGCTCTTTTGCATTTCATTTTGCCCCCTAAGCTCCACAACTTTCTTATGCGAATTCGAATGCTTTATGGACACAAACGTCGGATGCGGGTCGGTATTCGGGTACAAACCGACCCGGTTTATGCCTCACACCGCTTGCGTTTCATAATGTTTTCGGACCCATCGACCCGGTTCTCCATTGTGCTGTCTTTCCTGACGCACAATGTAAACATTTCCGACCCGACGACGATTTCGAGTTAGGTTTCGGATCCTCTCTTTTCTTACCCATGGGTTTGGATTGAGATGGAGGACCCGAGTGGACCAGTTGCACGATGCGGTCTCTAGATATTTGGATTGGGCCTTTTGTGGGAGCGGAGCCCGTGTTGGAAAATCGGATCAATGGAGCTCCGGAGTAACGAGCCGGATCGGGTTGAAGAGGAGGAAGATTTGGGTGTGGGTAAACTAAATCGATCTTGCTGTAAAACCAAGGGGAAAAAACAAATTTGAGAATAAAATATATTAGACGTCTCTAAACTATGATCGAATTGTTGCTTTTGCTATTAGATTTTTAAAAGTTATAAAATAACCATTAAATTTATTGAACTGTTATAAAATAAACATCGTGGCATTACGAAATAGTCATTAAATTATTAAAGAAATAAAATAATCATTGGAATTTGTCAAACTATACAAAAATCATTAAATTTATCAAACTTTATTATTATTATATATTCACGGTGACCATTTTATAACATAGTGATAAATTTAATAACTATTTTATAATTCTTGAAAAATCATGATCAACAAATCATTATCATAGTTTAGGGACCTCTAGTGTACTTTACCAAACGTGAGAATACAATTCCGGAAAAGATTATTCCCTTGGTAATGATATTTTCCAACATAATTCGAACAAATCTAAAAATAAATAAATATTGTTCTTTCAAGCTCAGTTCATTTACGGTCTTATGAACTAGCAATGTTACACCTTGAAATAATTACATATGTACTGTAAATGTTAAAATGTTACAGTCTTTTTTTTTAATTATGCAGGGTAATCATAAAGAACATGTAGCCATGGATGAAATTAGAAATGAAGACTTGTTTATGCAATTGATGCCCTGTTTTGACAAATGAGCAAGAAAAAACAATCGCGATGAACTTCAAATAATAGAAAGAAGTTGTGCAGAGTGAAGAAAATACAACTCTAGAACACTCACCATGCTTGCCTGCATCGGACAGCTTCTCGACGAACGGCTCTCTTCGGATCATCAAGAGCCTTTATTGCTGCTCCTAGTACCTGATAAAACAACAAAGATATGAATTTAAATGCAAATACAAAAAGAAGAGGGAAAATGCAATGAGCATTTGAATGCATAAATAGTTTCGACTCTCGATTATAAGTTCATCGATGTTATCCAGGACTAAGAACTATCATTTTCCTGGCCTTGGTATATCCTAAAGATGCATTATATATTGCAGCCAAAAAGGTAGTAAAATTCCAGAAAGAAAACCGTCAAGTTAATAGTCGACTTACCTGCGTTCTCATTGGATAAATCCTTGTATGGGGTAGGCTAGAGATGGCAACAAGACACCGCAGGGCTGTCTCACG